CAATTGGCCTTCATTGTACTTTCATTTTGTTCCGAGATGGGAAGAAAGGCGTTTTACGTGAAAGACAGACGAGGCAGAATCTACTTCTACAGGCCGATAGGAGACTTGTGCCGATTTTCGGGCATCATGAGAACGAACGCCACGCAGGTGAGCATCGACATGTCGGAAGTCTTGCCGTTCACCACCTCCGCTACCCTGTCTCTTATACACATCTAGATGTGTATAAGAGACAGGGTTTTTATAAACAAGAATTAAATATATACAGCCACAAAAAATATGAAAAAAAATATACATATATATTTATTTATATTTTTATATTTAAACAATTAAATTTAAGAATTTCCTAGAAAACTTTTATAATTTTTATTAATCAATTTTACTGGTTTTTCTTTCTTTCTTTCTTTTTTTTTTTTTTTTTTTTTTTTTGGTGGCTGTACACCTAATAAATTTAGTCAAGAGAAGAAAGTAATGCTACAAAATAATAATAATAATAGACTTGGGCAAGTTTCACTGTATACTAAATTATGCAGTACAAAATGAAGAGAGATTGAACAGAGCAGATGACTTACTTATAATATAAATATGACATTATGACAATCATGACACTTAAATACAGACGTGAAGTTCTTGTATGTAATTTTCCCATTACACCCTAACAACAGAAACTTATAGATGAACAAAGAAATGTGTGTATTTAAAAAATGCTTACCCATAAAAACCATCATGTTACACCGAAAAAATGATAGAAACACTTCCAGTCACTGGAAGTGTTTTATTATCTAAATTATAATTATTCGGTTAAAAAATCAGGGAACACATTTTTTTAAATTTAATAATTTCTATGCTCAAGCTGATAATTTTTATGTTACTGCAAAATAAGCAAGTTAATTTAAAAATTATTTTTTTATGATTTTGGTCAGTTTCAAGGGACAGTACGTCTTTAAGACATAGTTCACTCATCACGTCACAACTTTGCCGTACCGATTGCCAAATTGTTGGTTTTGTACGGAATGTCTTTTTTTAATTTGATGTCATTTGTAAATTATTCAAATTTAATATGTAAAACTTTATATTAATAGCTGGGTTATTTTTTTATTTTTTTTTTTCATTTTTGTTAGAACCAACAGAGATAACGATAATGATAAATTTTACCTCAGTGACGTTTCTGGTCCAATCAGGTACCTTTCCTCAGACTGATTACATGTTGGGATTAGTCATATCCCGGCGTTGATGTTTGGTTACGCCGTCTAACGCCCGGTGTTTGACTGTAGCACGTTCCCCTCGGCCCCCTGCCTTTGCTTTCTTGGATAGGTTGTCATAAATGTGCGAAAGTTCATACCCCCCTATATCTCTGTTCATGTTTTTAGGTTGTTTTCTTATGAACATTGCTTCTTTTATTTTCCTTTTTTCTGATTCTCTTTCTTTTCCCAAAATGTTAACAACCAGAGACGTATGTGGATAAAGTAAAGTTAATGTTGAGTGATGAAAAAGTATATGGCAGGTTAAAATCTAATCCGACAAAGAAATACAAAGAAAAAATAATTAAAGTGCTTGGAAAGCTTCATAATGAAAGAAGATTAGTTATAGTCAAAAACTGAAATTATACCCCATAGCAGAAGTGACGCCAAGAATGTATTGCCTGCCGAAAATTCATAAAGAAAATTGGCCGTTGAGACCAATAGTCGACATTATAAGCAGCGTTTATTACAACGTCTCCAAGTTCTTAGCGATGGATATACTGAAACCATTGGTGGGGCAAACATTTCATGTCACAAATTCGAAGCAGATGGCTAAAGAATTACAGGATATTGTGGTGAGTGAAATGGTATCTTTTGATGTGATTTCCCTTTCCACAAAAAAAATCTACTGGCGGACTCAACACTACCACAGGGAACGAATTTAAACGTCGAAAGCATTATGGACCAACTCTGGGGATCAACGCAACATATTTCTCCTTCAACATGAAGGAATCACAATGGGCTCACCAGTAAGCACAATCATCGCAAATATCTATCTTGAATGGTTAGAGCAGACAGCAATAGAAAACGCATCTGAACATATTAAACTAAAGTATTGGAAGAGATATGTGGAAGATATCTTTGCAATAATTCCTCATGATGCTGATAAGGCACTAAACGACCATTTAAATCCAATCGATACAACTGGTAATATAAAATTTACCACTGAACTTATGACGAATAATACGATTGCTTTCCTTGATATGCAAATTTTAAGCGTCAGAACGGCAGCCTATCGACAAAAATATACCGTAAACCAACGCATACTGAACAATACTTGAATTTTCTCTCAAATCACCCACTGGATCGAACACAAACTAAGTGTTGTAGAAACGTTGATAGATAGAGCAGAAATAGTAGTTAGTGAACAAAGTGAAAATCAGAAAGAAATAAACCACATAAAGACAGTACTTGGTAATTGTAATTACCCAAAGTGGACTATTAACAGAGTAATCAAGAGAAGAAAGGAGAAAAAACAGAAGGGGGTTTCCGGAATTAAGGAGGATAAGGAAAAAAGCAAAGGCAGTGTTGGCTTGCCATACATAAAAGGGCTATCTGAGAAAATTAGAGGAATATTACATCAGTATAACGTAAATGCATTCTTCATTCCTATAAAAAAAATTAAACAAGGCCTTGTCCATCCGAAAGACAAAATCAAAAAAGAGATAACTGTGGGGTAATTTATGAGGTATCATGTTTGAACTGTGATAGTGTATATATCGGCGAGACGGGAAGAACGCTTAATAAACGGATTAGTGAGCACAAAAAAGATGTAACATCATTTAATACTGGAGTTAAATCCAGAACAGCAAGATCGTCTGTGTCGAATGTGCCACATAAATCCGCAATAACAGACCACATGGTCCAGCTTAATCATGTTACCAATTGGGATGTTAAAAATTTTGGAAAAAGAAAGCGAATCAGAAAAAAGGAAAATAAAAGAAGCCATTTTCATAAGGAAACAACCTAAAAACATGAACAGAGATATAGGGGGGGGGGAACTTTCGCACATTTATGACAACTTATGTTAAATATCGGTTAGTTGCTGGTGGTGACTTTTAATGACTAGTATAACACAGTTCCTTTTAGTACACTGCAAACTTTTATTCACACAAACTGTACGTGGTTACAATCAGCTAAACTCCAGGTTTCAGATGTTAGAGAACCCTTTTTGAGTGGAGTCAGCTCAGCTCTGTACTTTTCTTCTGTGTACTCCTAACTACTAAATTGAATCTAACTACTGAATCAGTGATATGGGGGTGTTTGCCTATTATACTTTAGGTAATGGGGGTGTGTCTCAAGTAAGTCACCCCATACCTTTAGAGTTTCTGATTGGATCATAGAGAAATTCTTTCTCTATGATTTAGTAACTTGTTTACCAAAAAACTGCCAATTAAGATGTATCACAAACTTCAGAGCTTAGACTCAAAACTGACAATCATAGATTCACAGTGTGAGAAAGGCCAAGTCCAACTGACTAGGGTAAAGTTATACAATGTCCAGTTATATTATTAGATTATCTGTATACTCAAGTTGTCCATTAAAACTGTCAAACCAATTTAAGGCATATATCGGGTGAAGGGTATCAATTCCAATGGTTATGCAAGTTAATACCTTTGAACCTTAATACTACATTACACTTAATCAAGAAAGCAAAGGCAAAGGGGAATGTGCTACCGTCAAACACCGGACGTTAGAGGGCGTAACCAAACATCAAGGCCGGGATAAGACCAATCCCAACATGTAATCAGTCTAAGGAAAGGTACCTGATTGGACCATTATTATTATCTCTGTTGGTTCTAACAAAAAAGAAAAAATAACCCAGCTATAATTTTATAGAACCAAATGAAAATTTTCAATGACTTTATATTAATGTTTTTGTGCAATCTCATAATTTTTAAATGTATATTTTTGTAAGTGCAATAATTTTAGCTTTTGGCTACTTTCTGTAAACTTTTATTCCTGAACAAAATAAAATAAAATAAATTCAGACAGTAACAAATTACTGGGACAAATTTTACCTAGTTGTCTTTATATTATTTAGTTTGTATTCAAATTTATTTTTGGCTAACACGTAATTAAACAAAAATGAAATAATGAATCACGTAGGCCTGCTTACCTCCTACAATCATGATCACGTACATAAATGCATTCATGTTCATAGTGTTACTTCTTTGATGGTAGCTAAAATAGAATAACAAGATACAAGGACGAATTAAAAAAAGCCCAACTCTGTTAATAAGAAAGCAATTTTCAAATGCTGCTTCAACTAAAAACTGAAAATAAAAGACCAAGCACTTAAAACTAAATACATATAAACAAGATACAAATGACAATGAACACTATTAAGCATATAGAAAAATAAGAGATGCAATCCCATTTGCCTTAAATTGAGGTTCCATGCTCAGGAGAAAATGTTTGATTGTCACCAGGGCGAAGGTATTTTGTTCTACGTATGACATAAGATATTCTTTTACTTTATAGGTAATGACAATATCAGCGCATAAAAGTAATACTAAATTGTCTTTAGATGCTAAGGAAACACAGCCCAAATTAATTACAATATTTGCTAATTCCTCACCCCTTAAACAATACCACCACTCTCACTTACAGCTGCTAGGTTTGATGATGATGATGATGATGATGACGACGATGATAACGATAACGATTACGATGATGACGACGACGACGACAACAACGACGACGACGACGATAACGATGATGATGATGATGATGATGATGATGATGATGATGATGATGATGATGATGATGATGGATGGCCTTATATAGCACAAATAAACGAGGTCTCTATGCGCTCGGGACTAGATGTTGCACTTTTAAATAACTTTCTCCTCCCCTGAGGGTCACTTCATGTCCTCTGCAGCCAGTAAACCGGCGCACTTTCATCTGTCCACGACAAGGGCCGAGTGAACCTGTACACCGGGGTAACCCCCTACTTATTTCGAAAGATGTACTGGGTTCTTTAAAGTGCACATGAACATTTATGTACACTGGGCCTACGGGTTATAGTCCTTATCCGAGAAGACTTGTTCAATCACCAGAACTTAGACTGCCCTCCCATTTTGATTTCAATATTTATTTTATTTAATAAACTTCTCACTTATAAAAATATGGTTGAAGGAGACAGGCCAACATGTGACTAAAACCTCTTAAAGGGCCAACTCCTTACTATTGAAATACAAACAGAAATATAAATCTAAACATGACAGTACAAACACAAAAAAATAAATAAAATTTGAAAAAAAAAAAGTGAAAAATGTCACAATGACAATAAAGGAATAAGAAAAATCGCTTCGTTTCTAGAAGCCGTCAAGGTTAAAAATTTCCAATTCATAATACACATAAGATAATTTAAAGAATAATAAATAATGATTTATTGTAATATTATTTAATTATAAGAAGAAATTTAAAATAATAATAATATGGTAGCACATGATACTGGATAAATGATAATTGTTGACTAGGAAAAAAAAATTCTAGAAATCACCCTATTGTATAAGTAAGAGAAGCTATGACGTTTTGCATTTTGAGTACTACTGTAAATGTTTATGCCTAGCTAGGCTACACCCAGTTTCTAACTTATAATACATAAAAGAATAAATAATAGTTGTGATACAAAAACTCTTAGCATCCAAAACCTATTGTAGAGCAACATCAAGACAAACAACCTTTGGAACCAATGTTACAATGGTAAAGTCCATTGTTGGGTGGTTTTTGACAGGGGTGGCTTTTAACAGGGGTGGCCTTCTTCCTACATTCCTTTCGCCATGGGAGGGCAGTCTAAGTTCTGGTGATTGAACAAGTCTTCTCGGATAAAGATTATAACCCGTAGAGGCCCAGTGTACATAAATGCTCATGTGCACTTTAAAGAACCCAGTACATCTTTCGAAATAAGTAGGGGGTTACCCCGGTGTACAGGTTCACTCGGCCCTTGTCGTGGACAGATGAAAGTGCGCCGGTTTACTGGCTGCAGAGGACATGAAGTGACCCTCAGGGGAGGAGAAAGTTATTTAAAAGTGCAACATCTAGTCCCGAGCGCATAGAGACCTCGTTTATTTGCGCTATATAAGGCCATCATCATCATCATCATCATCATCATCATCATCATCATCATCATCATCATCGTTATCGTCGTCGTCGTTGTTGTCGTCGTCGTCGTCATCATCGTAATCGTCATCGTTATCATCGTCGTCATCATCATCATCATCATCAAACCTAGCAGCTGTAAGTGAGAGTGGTGGTATTGTTTAAGGGGTGAGGAAAAAGAATAAGGGGAACACGAATTACCAAAGAAAATAGAAATCATCTAAAATAGAAATTACCAATAAAAATTTTCACCATAAATCTATATACAATTTAAAAAAACCATAAAAATAATAAACATTAAAGACAATAAACATAATAAAAGTAATGGCAAAAAAGAAAATTGAACGGAACATACATCCCAGGTCACAGCTTGACGAACCAAACATATGCAGGGCACAACAAAGCAAACAGCAAAAGATACAGAAATGTTTAAAATCAGTCAGTAAACTATTAATTACAGATAAAATTTGAAGGTCATGATTTGATTATTATTTATATTAGACAGCAATTTTCCCACGTCGGGTTGAAACTCGCATTCAAAATGGAATAACTACATAATATTGCAATTTCACTAATTTTTATATTTATTCTATATAATAACCACAAAAATTGATAAAATATTTCATAATAAAGGTAAAAATAATAAAGACAATAAAATTAATTATGAAAAAATGGCAAATAATAATTTTTTTTAAATGAGAATACAGAAGAAAAACTGCCACCGATAAACATTATTATTATTATTATTATTAATAACAATAATAATAATAATAATAATAATAATAATAATAATAATAATAATAATAATAATAATAATAATAATAATAATAATAATAATAATAATAATTATAAAGAAAATATGATTCTTTACAGTTTCATTTCACTGTTCTCACTTTTATTTTATTACATTCTCCTATCAACAGAAATTAATTCAAGGTTTGTTATTAGCCCAAAAAAATATTGTCATTGCATTTAAAAATACAAATATCATGTGATAATAAGTAAATACTACTGTAGATATCACAAAGGAAAAAGGTAATTTAAGAAACTTAATGGTAATAATTAAGTAAGGTATTTGAGTAAATAATTGTTTTGTTTGGATAAAAGTAATTCAATAAGCTTCCATAACTGCATAACTGACAATTTATTATTTTGGAGATATTAAGCAAAACGTGTAATTTATTTAGCCCTGAAATTTGTTAGTATTGATTTCATGGTTAATATATTCAAACAGAAAAATAATGTCTCTTCCAGTGTAGCACACATTTTTTCTATAAATATTGAGTTTTGGGCTCAAAATGTCAGTTATGCCCTTTTGCCGTGGGGTTTCTGATTTAAGACATGTTGACAAACTTTGGCAAAAGGATACACGTAGACAGTTTAGTTCTTTTCAACGCAATTAAGGTGCTAGATCGAGGACCCTCTAGGTAGGAGGCCTTAGGGACCATCATAGATCTGGGGCCCCGCACAAGAGCACACAGGCGTTACGCCACTGCGTGCAGGATGCATGCGTATGCGTATGTGAAATAGAACTTATGTTTAGTTAGAATGCTCGTATGATTGTTTCACTGTCTACGTTAAACCCATAAGGATATAATAAGAATACTAGAGCGCTAACTACAATGCATTCGATGTTCGAAATAAGCAGAACTGTGTGAGTGTACCATCCAAAATGGCTGCCATGGATTCAGCCAATCAAATTTCGCCTAAGCACTATCATTTTTAAATGGCGCCCTCAATTTACACAGAAAGTTCAGTACAGCCAGTTACCCGTATGCTTGGAACTCGAGCGTTGCGGTAAATGGGTGTAATGTACACGATTATACCTGTTTGCCATGTTATTTGCTATAAATAAACAAAGTAAAATTGCCTTTTTGCCATGGTTATTTGCTGAATAAACGTTGTAGTACTGCCTTTTTGTCACAGTTATTTGCTAAATAATCGTTTTACTTGTCCCTTTTTGCCATTGTTATTTTTAGTTAAAATGTGAATTGTTATTATGCCATGGTTAATTATTTTTATCAAACAGTTACTATTTTCCTATAGCTTTATTTCCATAGTATTAAACCGTAGGCCTATGTCATTCAAAGTAAGGCAAAGTTATATATCATGTTTGCCTAACATTAACTAAATATATGCTACTGTCAAGAATCATTATTTAACCAATTTCTATTTACAAACTGTGAGTACGCAAAGAGTAAGAATAATAAAAATATTAAAACTTAACAAGCAGCCTTCATTGTAACCAGGGAGAAAGTTCTCTTCTGATTGGTTGTCTGATGAAAGAACGTCACGCTTCAGCGTATCACAGCCGCGCCTATCTTTGCAGTTATGCCCTTTTGCCTTGGGATTTTACTGAAAAACCTTGGGAATTTTTTCCATGCCTCTATCTAGCCCGGGAGCCACTTTTTTAACAATTTTTTTTATGTCAACATGTGTAACATGATTTACTGACTCAACTAGGCTATATAACTCAATTTCGCCAAAAAATGTCAAGTTATGCCCTTTTGTTATGGGGAAGGTGGGCAGTATAGGAGGAGCCGGCCGCGAACATGTTGGCTATGATCACGGTGCCCATGCCTTAAAATGGATATGAAACCATTTTCAAAAATCCAATGAATGAAGGTTTTGGAATCCTTGGGTAGTCAATAAACCAGTCACAAAATACTAACCTTGAACAATTTGTTGAATTTGAGAAATTAATAAAAACATTTGTAAAGTAATTTCTCCGAAAAATGGCCGATATGTCGATACGCCATCTTTGTTTTCATACGAATTCTAAACCCACTGCGATCGTTCAGATAATTTGAAACAACCGCGTTATATTCCCGACTGTAAGTGATTTGTGATTGGTCAATCAAATTGCACTTTGACACGATAATCGCCGACGACAAGTAAACAAACAAGATGCCGAACGGTTGTTGTGTATTCGGCTTCAATAGAACGCAAATAAATCACCCAAAAGTATCGTTTTTCCTCTTTCCCAAGAAAGATAAAAATATAAAAACTTTTAATAAGTGGGTAGAATAAAGGACAACGAGGAAGAAGATGTTGAGGAAATGCCATCTCAGACCAAAAAAGAAAAACAACGAAATCTATATACCGACGAAAACGGGA